GATTGCTTAAGTTTAGAGTTTGGAGTTAGAGATATTAATATTTGTTTACTTGTAGTTGAATGTTAGCCTAGGTTTGGTTTGGGAAGTCTGGGGGGTAGGGGGATGGGATAAATCATTGTGTAATACTTGTGATGTATTTTTTCGTTTATGATAAAAACAATAAAATTTTATATTGAAAAAAAAAAAAAAAAAAAAAAAGATGCCTCTCCTTCCCATCAGTCCCATCATCTTCCTTCTCTCCCCAAGGTCCCAAGTTTCCCCTGCCCAGAAAAACTTCTTTCCAGTACATTATACCAAATATTATATTTTTCTTGGGGAGGGGGGGAGGAATCCGGCAAAGTCTCTCTCTTGCCCAGTATAAAGATATATTTCAATAATAATCTATAATATATGCTATATAATATTCCAATATAATATTTTTATTAAATAATATTGATTGATTTACTTATCAACTTTTAAAACCGTCTCTCTCTCCCACAGAGGGACTTTGCATGGTAAACACATAAGATATAAAACCACCAAAATAATCTATAGGATTTAAAAGACAAGAATGATTAAAATGCAGTAGTAAATTAAAAGGGGGGGGCTTCAGGAGGCTGACCGGCCCCACGGCTGCCTCCTCCTCTGTGCCCCCCAAGCAAAGCCCCAGAGCCCCTTTCCAGAAGGCCAGGAGTGGGGGAGGGGCTCCCTTCACCTCTGGGGCCTTTGGGATTTTAGGATAAAAAGTGAATTTCCAAAGGTCTAGAAAAGGGAATCAGGGAAGGCTCTTTCATCTGCTGTGTGCCCTATCCCTCTTTTAGTTCTTTTTATTCTTTATATTTTATTTTATTATATATATATTTATATTTATTCTTTAGTCATTTGTTCATCCAATTTTGTTCTCTGCATATTCAGTCTGGAATTCATTTTTACTCCTAAATTCTTTCCTGCAGACCTAGGAGGATAATTAACTGTTCATAAAAAAATCCCGACCAGATCCCAGGATTAAATTACAGATAACCAAACCTTTGAAAATTGCATGTTCTTAAACGTTATATAATTAGCTGTTCATAAGAGAATCCCAGAAAAAGGGATTAGCAAAAGTTCTCTGAGCTGGAGTGGATCTATGAAGGACCCACTTGGGGGGCTCACTCAGCCCCCCCATTAATCCACTCAAGAGTTGTGCCCTTTGCTGAAGGAGGAGATCAAGAGGGATCCCTTCAAAGGCTGTTCTGTAATCCTGGGATCTGCCTGATCTCCTCAGTCACCAGCTGCCCCCACCTTCCCTTTCCCCAAGATCCCCCCCCCCCAGATCCTTTCCGCCCTCCCTGTCCAGAATGGGGCAACTCATTGCAGGACAATTCAACAATTTTATTCAATTATTTAAAATAATTTTAAAAATGTTTTTTTTATTATTTTTGTCCTTCACATTTCATTTCTTTCCTCCCTCGGCCTCCTTCCTTTCCTGATTCTCTTTCTCCATTTCTTCCATATTATGCAAGTTTTCCTAGACCCCTCCCTGCCCCCCCATCCCAGGCAGGAGGGTCGGACCCCTCCCCACCTCCTTCCCGGGGGGGGAAATGGGGCTGGGAGGGAGGCCGGACGGCTGCAGGGAGAGGTTGGGGGGGGGACCTGGGCAGAAAAAACCAAAGTTTCAAGTACAGATTAGGCGAAATCTGGCTCAAAATCAGGGGGTCCCAATGGGGACCCTCACACTGGAGGTAGTTGTAGAATTAAGAGGCAATCCCCTCTCCCCCCTCACACGTCCTGTTCCTCCCCCTCTTTTAACTATAATTTTATCTTATTTTTTATTTTATTTTACAAAATTTATATGCCGCCCTTCTCCCCATTGATTGGGAATTCCATTTTGATTGCTATAGAAATATTTATCTGTTGGGATTTTAATGCTTTAATGCTGTAAGCCAGGGCTTTTCAACCTTTTCACCGACTTTACCACTTTTAGGATATATGGCAATATTCGAGTACCACCTAGCAAGGTGTCAAACACTTGATGACCAAAAAAACCCAAACCTCTTTAAAGTTGCAATTCCACTGAAATGACTTATGACCACTTTTCACACTTATGGCCATTGCAGCAGGCCCAGGGTCATGTGATTTATATTTGGATGCTTGGCAACAGATTCATATTTATGATGGTCACAGTGTTCCAGGGTCATGTGATCCCCTTTTGCAACCTTTTGACAAGCAAAATCATTGGCAGATGGCCAAGTGCTAAGGTGGGACTTCCTTTCCTCCCTCCCTCCTTCCCTGCCTCCCTCTTTCTCATTCCCATCTCCTTCTGAAGGAAGAATTTGAACCCCCCCCCCATTTCCCCTCTTCCATATATTCATCAAACAAGGAAAAGCCTCCAGAGACAGAAAAGACAAGCCATTGAGGGAACTAGCTTAAAAAAGCGCATTCCCCTTTAAGAATTAGCTACTGGCTAGAAAGGAAAGTTAAGGAAGAAAAAAAATGTAGTAAGTATGGCTAAGGCAGCCTCCCCAAATGGCTCCATTCGTAAGTAAAGGAATGCTACAGGCAAAATCCATTCAGGAGAAAAATACTTCAAAATCCCTTGCAGCAAAACTTACAGCTGACAATAGCAGAGCAGTAGAAGCTAACCTGAGACATCAGCCATCAGCCAAATAGAAATTGCCAAACACTCCTTAAGAACACAATGCCCCCATTGCAAAAATCCCAGAACTTCAAAGTCACAAAAGCACATAAGAATCCTTCCACTCTCCATCTCCCTCCATGATTCACCTCCAGCCAATGCTGCCTTTCTTCATTGCTGCCTTTCTTCATTGCTGCCTTTCTTCATTCCTCATGGAGGACAACCCCTCCTCCCTACGTTCCTTGCCTCTTGGTTGCTGCCAGCACAGGCGGCTGCCACAGAAGTTGTAGATCCACTTGTAGCCGGCCTGCTTGATTTCCTCTCCTCTCCCCCCACCCTCCTCCTCCTTTCCATTCCGTGAAGCTAGAGCTGACTCCTCCTCCTCCCAAGGCTGCTTCTTTTTCTCTCTCTTCTTCTCCCGGCCCAAACTGCCTCCTTTTATAGCCTCTCCTGTCTCCTCCTTTCTCATGGGGGAGGAAATTTCTTCCATCCTGGGGCATTTCTAATATTTATTCCTGTTGGACTTGTGCAATTTGATGATGGAAACTGATCCCAACCAGGAACGATTTATGTTTTTCCATCTTTCAGGATCCTATTTACCTTCTTGCTGCAATTTGCTTTGGAAATGACTTAAAACAAATAATATTTTGAGGACTGAAAAGGGCTCTTGGCCTGAACTAACCAACTTGGTCTCCTGTTCTGGCCCCTCCTGTGTCTCCCCCATGTCCCTCCTCCCTTCCAGCCAAACCCACCGTCTCCATCTCCCCCACCAAGCTGGATCCCGCTTCCCCCCACACCATCCTCCTCTGCACCGCCAGGGGCTTCTACCCCGTGGAGATCGAGGTCCGGTGGCTGAAGAACGGGAGGCTGGAGGAGGAGGGCGTGGCCTTTGGGGAGGAGCTCCAGAACGGAGACTGGACCTACCAGCTCCAGGTGATGCTGGAGACCCAGCCCCAGCGGGGGGACGTCTACGCCTGCCAGGTGGAGCATGCCAGCCTGGAGGCCCCCATCACCGTCCAATGGGGTGAGCCCCTCCCCTCCATCTCCTCCTGGTCTGGGAACCCCATCCTGCCCTGAGAAGGGGGGAGGGACCCTCCCTTTGGGGGGAGCTGGGATGGACCCTCCTGGGGGGGGGAAGCTGGCCTTGATGCTCCTGCTCAGGGGAGGCTCCTTCTCCTTCCCCAGAGCCCCATTCCTCCAACTCTGCCAAGAGCAAAGTCTGGACGGGGATCGTGGCAGCCGTGATCGGGGTGATCTTCTTCACTATGGGGCTCTCCCTCTACCTGAAGAGCAAGACAGGTGAGTCTGGGGGGCTGGATGAGAGGTTGTGGGGAGGGGACCCTCCAGGGGAGGCCTCTCAGCAAGCTTAGCAGATGGCAAGGAGGCTCCCCTGGGAAATTTGCTTGTGAAATTCTGTTCTCTGAGAGTCTACTGTATAAGTGAGCATTGTGCAACTTATTATGGGCTATCAATGGGGAGGGGGACTCCCCTGAGTCCTCCAGCCCATGAAGGGTTCTGATTGGCTCTTTTTCTCCTTCCAGCAACTCCCATCCAGCCTCCTGCAGGTGAGTTTCTCCCCAGGTTATAGATGTTTCTTTAACATTTGTAAATTGAAGTCTCCTTGTGTCATTTCTCGCAATTTCTGGCAAAGTGACACCCGGCTTTGCTGCCAAGCCCCATCCTGGCCTCATCCTCTTTGTTAATATGAAACACCTTTGTGGGGGCTCATCTCTTGATCGATCCCCTAATTAAATCATTTGGGGAAAGTTCCATCAGCCCCGGGAGATTAATCACTGGTCCTTTGCATCCTTTTCATCCCTGAAAGAAGTGGAGCCTCCCTCCATCCTGTGTCTGCCATTCAACCACCCCCCTGCAGTGTGGGCCTGTCAGGAGTGGGAAAGCTGAAAGAGGGGAATAATAAGTTATTTACACTGAAGGTTTCACTTTGTATTCTAATTTTCTTTCCCGTCTCTTTTTCTACAGAACTCATGAATTAATCCTGCTGTCCTTCCTGATTCCTGGTGGGAAAGATTTTTTTTTTTCAGTAGCTGATGAATTTCTGTTTCTTTTTTGCAACCTCTGATAAATGGAGGCTGAAGATTTTAGATTGGGGAGAGGAGGAGAATGGCAGCCTGGAGCTTCTCCTGCTGAGATCCCTCTGGCTTTCTTTTGAAGTCCACTCTTTCTAGTGAGGGAGGGGTGGAGACTATCTAGACTGACCCCAGGGACTCTCAGCCTGCCTGTCCATCCAGAACCTCTAATCTGTCCCAGCTTTGAACCCACAGCAGCTTCATCCCCGTTACTCTTCCTATGAATCACTTCCTTTCACTTTGCTATAAAAGAATAAAATTTAAATTGTAGAAAAACCTCTTTCCTGCTCCCCACAGGAGGGTCCTCCCTTTCTCCCTCCCCCTCCCCAGATTGAGACCTCCCCTGCCTCGGGATTGACCACCCTGGCTGGTTTAGATCCCAAGCCAGAAGCGGTTCGGGAGGAGGGTGGGCAGATCCCAGGGAGGGGAAGAGGCAGGACCCCCCCCCTCCCTTCTCAATCTCTCCAGGTCCTGCCAGATGGGGGGGTGTTGTGTTCTTTGTATTCCTCCCCCTTAATCCCCTATGCATATCCTGATCACCCATTAAGGGTGATTGCCCTTCACCATTGATCGCCCATTAAGGGTGATTGCCCTATACCATTGATCGCCCATTAAGGGTGATTGCCCTTCTCCATCTGCATACAGTTTCATGCCCGTTGCTGGTTGGCTAACTAGCAACAGGGTCTTGCCAGCCAATGGAATTGTGTGATTACAAGCCAGGGGAATCCCATAAAAGAGGGCTCCCCTGGCCCAGAGAGTCAGTCCGGATTTACTTTATGCCTTGCCAATAAACCA